ATATATATATATATATATATATATATATATATATATATATATATATAGTGTGTGTGTGTTATGCGTACCTTCTGATTTACCTTTTTTAATATTGTTTAATCAGCCAATTTCTTGAACCACGTCCCGTCTTTCGGGGTTGTTGTCTTTCTACCTCAACATTCACACGTGTACATGTTCTGTGCAGGTGTGCTACCGGGTGCTGATGCAGCTGTGTGGACAGTATGGCCAACCCGTGCTGGCAGTCAGGGTCCTCTTTGAGATGAAGAAGGCCGGAGTGCACCCCAATGCCATCACTTACGGCTACTACAACAAGGTACGGTATCGCTCTGTTGATCCTGATGTATGGGGGGTAAAGCGGTGGATTAAGGCTGCAGCTCATAAATTCCTGCCCGGTGCAGTCTGTCACACAAGCGCTGATATGAATATATTATCACTGGGACTCCCAAGTGCTGTTGTTCTCAGAGTATTCTGCTGGTTCTGCTGAAAGTTTGACTAATGAGTGAACAAATGTCAAACAAATGGTAAACGGCCTTGCCGTTTTAAAACCCCTTTCCAGTCTTCCGAGCACTCAAAGCGCTGCACAGTACATGTCAACATTCACCCATTCACACACATCCACACACTGATGAGATGTTCTACACAAAGCTACACATTTATTAATCAGAAGACACGTCTTATTGTTTCACATTCCTGTAATGACAGATGTTGGACACTTTTTTTTAGTCACTGCTTGCATTCATTTATATCCAGTGACATATGAGACTTGAACAAACACACATCAGCATGAGGTTTAGTGGTAGAAAATCTTCTGAATAGTTTTGTTTTGAAACAAAATATTGAACTGAGGCATTTTAGTTTTTAAAAATCTGACTTTTCAGAATGAAACGGATGACTTTGGTGAGATTGGGAGGAACTGGGGGGTTCAGGGTCTTGTTAAAGGACACTCTAGAAAGCAAACCAGAGGAGCCGGGGATTGAGTTGCCGATCTTCCGATAAGAAGGCGACCGACTCTTCCTTCTGTGCCACAGCCGCCCAAATCCCACAGATTCTCCCTTTTCCATCAGCTGTGATGGATGAAAATACAGACTCAGTCAGAGCAATGAAATACAATAAATGTCAGAACATCAGGAGAAGAGTCTGCTGTACAAAACGGTACGATCAGAACTTATGTTGCTGGAGGCGTCGTGTCAGATGTGATTAAAAATATACGTCGCAGTTTGATAAAGTCGATATTAAAATGCAGAGAAGTACAAGTTACTGTAGGAATATTCTGAATAATCATCACATGACCTCTAAAGACACGCTCTGCATAAAAACACCTCATTAAGCCGCACAATATATTATAATATATTATATTATATTATAGAGCAGACTGATTGCAGTCGAGTGTTTATTTGTGATTCACAATAGCCACATAAATACATGCATCCACATTATGACACCACTGTGCTCAGTTGCTCCTCTCTGGTTGGTGCTTCAGTCTGTCTCTGATCTGGCAACCCAGGGAGTAAAAGAATGAGTGGGCTGATGTGGGAGACGTGGCCGCAGAACAAAAAGGTTCCCCCGTTGTGTTTTGACGCCTCAGAGGATCTTATTTCGTCTTAGAAATAGAAGGCTGGGAGGCACAAGGTGGCTCATTCCTCCACTCACACCAAGCTGCTACATCTGCAGAGGATTCTGCTCCTTTCATGCTTCTTTAGGTCTTTGAAGTCTGAGGAGGAGGAGGAGGAGGAGGAGAGGTTTTCAGTCTGTGCAGAAGCACTTATCTATTCTTTATGTCAGAGGACTTCATATTTTGGTGTTAGCTTTAAAATAGATGTGAAATAAGTGAGGAAGAAACGGCTAAATCAGAAATAAACAGAACTAAAGTCCTCCTGAAACTGAACAGAAGATCAAAACTACCGTGATGCTCCAACGTAGAAGCGGAAGTAATCTGTGCCATTTGCAGCTTAAATATACCTGTTCCCTGTTCAGAGATTTAATGTGCTGCTTCTGTGTGATTCTTTGTGGAGAAACTCATTTTTACGGATCTGTCATTAAATCAACTAATCGTATGAGCGTTAGTCGAATAAGAAATTCTACTCGAGGACAGCCGTAAAATCAACATATAATGTTGTGAGCTTCAGAGCTAGAAATTCCAGTCTCCAGTCTTTATGCTAAGCTAAGCTAACCACCTCCTGGCTGCAGCTTCATATTTAACGAACAGGTATGAGAGCGGTATCAACCTTCTAATCTAAGTCTCTGCAAGACAGTGAATCGGTGTGTTTTCCTAATGACTAAAGTAACGATCTGCTGCAGCTACACTCTGTCAAACACCGTGCATCACAGGAGCAGGACGACGGCCCCTTGTCTCCTCAGAATGGTGTTTTTGTTCAGTGGACTCCTGAAGTGTTTTCTAGGAGCAGACAGAGACTGTGGAACGTGACTTGGCCACCAACAGCTGCAGAGCCTCTGCTCTTCCCTTTGTGATGCTGAGAGCGACTGTGCAGTGGAAAAAACACCGCCGCAGTTAAACGCCTTTGATGAAAAATTCATTCAAAGATGATTTTTTTATATGGAACGGGGAATGGGTCGGTTTTCGTTCACTCACTTCATGTTGAGCAGAAAGTGAACGGATGATGTAAGAGCTGCACTTCACACAATATTCTCACAGTGCTCAGAGATTTATTTATAACCCTTATACACCAACATCTGTGCATATATGCAGCTGCTTTAAACGCAGGAAACATGTTGATAACAAGGGATAGACTTCTTTACTTTGGCCTGTAGATAACAGAGTTTACCTTTCTGTAGTTCTGTGTTTCTTGTGGTTACTTCTTTCTTTTTTATTTTTGCTTCTGTGTTTGAATGAATTGTGTTTTGATGATCATCTGTCAATGGAGTCTGGTAGCTTTGAGGAGAGCAAACAACGACTGTTTCTTCTCACAAGACTAAGACTTTCTTTAGTTTCTGTTAAGGTTTAGTGTGTTTTAGTGTATTGATGATCAGCGAGGTAAATGTGCTGTTTTCTGACTGGAGTCTGGTTGTTTTGCGGAGAGAATAATAATTGTGTTTTGTATGTTTTAAAATTATAATACATTTTCCAAATTCCACTTGATTTTATTTATTATAAATTAAATTCAACGTGAGTCACATAGCATCATGTTTCCTTCACTGGCGATTGGAGCTGGAGCCCATAAATACCTTTGACTGCTGCAGAGTCATTTGTCCCAGTAATGAATGTCTTCTAATGATCTTACCTTATCATCTTATCCTGATACGTTGTTGCCTCCTCCTCCTCCTCCTCCTCCTCGTCCTCAGGCAGTGTTGGAGAGCACGTGGCCCTCCAGCACCAGAGGAGGGTACTTCCTGTGGATGAAGCTGAGGAACGTCATTCTGGGCGTAGCGCAGTTCAAGCAGGCGCTACGACGACACGCTCCGCTCACCCAGAGTCCTCTGTCAGGTAACTGAGAACGCTCGGCACGTCTGAGGACCGGCAATGATCCCGCAAATTAAATATTAAGGACCACTTTCTATCAAATGCCAACATCCATTGTTATAAAGCCATGATAACTTAAAATGTGGTTTCTTTTTGGTAGCTCGGAAAGGTTTCTGTGACACGTTCAGGTGTATTAAAGCTGGTATATGTAGAGAGTTGTAATGGTGTAGGGGAACAAAAAGATGACATACAAAACAACTGACATAATACAAGTGAATGGTCTTCATCCAAGAAGAAGAATACCAATGTTAAATATATCAGTTAGACTGGTACAATCCAAATACATCAAAGACTTGGAGGACAAATTGAAGTCAATAACATTATAAACAATGCAAGATCCTACTTTACCATCACATCCAATGTCTTGAATTCAAATATGTCAGTTGTAATAAAAGGCCAGCAGAGCTGAAAAGGTGAAACTATTAAACTATCTCAGCATCCCCATGCATGCCAGCATGCTAACCCCAGTCCCTGCTAACCTCTGTTACCAGTCGTAAGCTCTTTGTTCCTAAACAGTTTGAAAGAGACCATTGTTCCTGTGAAACACACTCCTCTCAACACACCACTAAGAGACACAAGCCGGCATTTTACCGAGCTGTATTCACTACGTAGCGGCTGGTTTACTGCGGCGGTATGAACCCACAATAAACAGATATGCTGTGATTTAATTGCAATAAACTGATAGAAAGGATGCCGAAATATCTACATAATGATGCCGATTTGTGAAAAGTCTGAATTCATGCTTCGTCAGTTCTGTCAGCAAGACGACAAGCAAACAACTTTTAAAATGCTTGTTTTCAAAATGGAGTTCAGCTCTATCGGTGCTAGGCTACGCTAACATCGTAGCTGCTGCGTCAACTCTCAAAATATCGTCCTCCAGGCATAAATACAGCAGCGATGTACCACAGGAAGTCTGTGTATAAATGTATATGTACCAGCGTATGTATGTACATTTAATGTGCTATTTCTAATTCAAGAACGTCAGTGACAACAGGAGGACAATCTCAACGCTGAAAGGCTTTCGTGACACAGCGTCTCGCGAATTACTCGCTTTAGTTGAAATATTTCACGTCGCATGAATGCATGAAAGACGCAGATTTTGCGTCTTCTGCATTGACTTTGTATTTAATTGTGTTCCTGTTTAGTGTGAACACTCCATAACTCCACTCCCATCCCACACATCACACATCGTATTAATTGTGCTGACTTTGAGAGGGATTTTCTTTAAAGAACAGCTAAACTCTTTTTAAACCCAAATGAATGTTAATTTATTATTGGAAACTTAAGTCACCAAATATGTTCAATGACGTGTATCAAGTTTCACATTTCATGCACGTTATTCTCACCGGCTGTGCGCGAGACTAAAACACTGTCTAGTTCATTTTCAGAGTTTAGGGAACTAATGAACTGGAAGTGAAACAAACGAGTCGGTCTTTGTTTTTCCTCTAATTAGAACCAATTTACACGTAAATGTTCTAAAGTATTTAGAGTTACACTTCAGCTCCTTTCTAGTGAATTAAAGTGGTACTGTCATTGTTTAACGCTGGCGCCTGGAATTCATTATTACTAAATTATGCATTTTGAAGACATTTGTCTCATGAATTATGCTTTTTGCAAAAGTATTTTTAATCTTTTAAACGGCCATTTCTCTTATGCTGCCTCAGCCGGATTTAAATCAATTCACAGAAGCAAGAGACCATCAACACGCTGTTTCTTCACAGAAACACCGTAGAACTCATTTGGACTTGTTCTTGTCATCAAATCGTCGACGCTTAAAGATGCAAATAATTATTTTAGAAAGCCGACCTGGCGCCCGGCGTCCGTGTGTAACGCCTTGTTGTCTTTGGGCAGATGGCAGCGACCTGGACGCCGTGAGTCACGGCAGCCTGGATATCTCCGCCGACACTAACCTGGGCCCCTTCGCCACCGAGTCCGCCCGAGTAGACCCCGCTGACGATAGATCTAGCACAGGTACTCTCAGCCTGCTCCTTCGCTCAGTCTGTCACAGGCAGCCATCTTGTTCTACATCTTCTCTCTCAATGACATTTTGTTTTTGTATCCTCCTTCCTTCCTTCACTCACCGACCGGCCTCTTCCTCATTTTCCCCACTTCCTCTTCTCTGTTTTTTTTCTCCCATCATCTCCGTCGTCCATCCATGTCCCTCCCTTGTGTGGTTTCTGCTGTGCTCTGTCCCTAACCCTGCCCTTCACTCTGGCCCTGCCTGTGTTGCCCTTGCATGCAGTCGGCCGTGGGGGCTGCGGCGTGGGCGCCGGGGCCCCGGTGGTCCACCCACACCGGGGGGGCTCTGAGCTCAGAGAAGCCACCCTCCACCCAGGTAATCCTCTTCCTGTCAGTCTGCATGTCTTGTCTCATTTCTCCGTCTCATCTCACCTGAGCTGCAACGTTTTCTGTCCTCTTTCACGTAACGCTTTTCTTTTTCTGTCCTCCACGGTGTTTGTGTCTCTCTACCCGGCACAGTCTGCTGCTCTCTCTCTGTTCTCTCGCTTCACCACAGAGTGATGTGTCATTGTCAACTATGGACAGTAATTACCCAGAGGCACGTTCTCTTTCTGATTATGGAAATGCTTATTTAATCACGGAGACTGCTCCTCGGCATCCATACGAGGGATGCACCGATCCGACATTCTCCGTCCCGATACCGATACCTGGGCTTTGGGTATCTGCCGAGTTATCGAGCACCGTGTTTAATCAATCAGCTGTGAGGAAGAGACTGACTTAAACATTACATTCCTTACTTTTTAAAACAAAATGTAGCAAATGAACACATAGATATAAATGTATGAGTTTGTTATTTATTGAAGTAATGGTGTCCGATACGCGATCAGCGTCAGTGTGAATTGCAGCTGATTTAGACTTAGTCTTAGTCTTTAACAGAAGATCTTTTTGAGTCACAGTTTAGTCATTTTAGTCGACGACGACTCAAAATGTTTTCGTCGCCGAAAAGTCAGAAGATTTTAGTCAAAATGTTTTCCCTCTTAATTATGTCAGCAGTTTCTTAACTTAGTCTTAGTCGCGTGTCAAATGACCTGTTTCATCAGATTGTATTGAATATTTCAGTAAGTCTAGTGCAGCCAAACAAGAATTTTGTCATTTAAGTCGAACTTGTTTAAATTACTGTAAGATTTGATCTTATTTATCTGATGAAAAACAGGTTTAATGATTAAGAATGCAGCTTTGTAGGGATTTTATACCATTAAAAATAAGATCACTGGGAACTATTCAATCATTCTCTGAGTTACAGGATTAAGGGTTTAAATGTGGGGCAAAAGACTAACTAAGACGTTTTTTATTTTGTTCCTGATGAGTTGAAGAGCGTGTGTTTACGATCTATCACACAAAATATGTTTTTAATTAACCACTCGAACCCAAACCCGACCTGCAAAACAGCCAAATTTATGCATGAAACAGGACCGAGCGACGTATTTATGTGTTTGAGAGGAAGAGGAGGTGGAAGGGGATGAAAATGAGGAAGATGTCAGAATAAATAAACTACAGTCTCGTCTTTTTTTGTTTGATATCGTCACTGAAGTCACCGTCTCGTCATCGTCTCATCTTTGGTCGCTGACGAACACATTTGGTCACAGTTTCAGCTCACAAAACGAACACTGAGGTTCTGGTATCGGTGCATCTCTACTCTGGATGCTGTGTTTAGAGACGAAGATGAAAGAACGGAACAAATGGTGGGGAGGTTTCGCAGACAGATAGAAGAGTGGGCCTGGAGTTATCAAGGCTTAACAGTTAAGTTCATTAGCAGCTGTGAAACTCACAGTAACTGTAGATCTCTGCGTGGCCCGAGGAGGATTCAGCTGCTTCCTCCTCTCCCACAACTGAGGAGATGAAAGGGAAGAAGTATGTCTCTACCTCAGTGTACGTGTGTAAAAGGCTTTTTTGGTGGTTTTGTGTAGATCCGGTGAAAACAGTAATAGGAGCGGTGTCACATACAGTGTTGTTAAAGTGCAGCTACTCTGAGAGATGTCGTGTTCCTCTGCGTAGTTTTTCCATGATTTGTGTCGCATATTTCTGTAATCCTGTGGTTTAATATCTAGAGACTTGTGTCCATCTCTCTGTCTCTGTTCTCTCTGTTTAGGGGATCAGTCAGATTTGGGATATAACTCGCTGTCCAAAGAGGAGGTTCGGAGAGGAGACCCCGGTGCTCAGGACGCCGCCGCCACCGCCGGCAAAGACGACAAGAAGGAGAGCGACTGCAGCTCCCGTCAGTATTCTGTCTGTTCTGATAGCACCTCATATTTCTGTCTACTGTACCTTCTGAAAAAAAGATGATTCTCCTCAAGTTTTCCTCGCAGCGGCGCAGGATTTCCTCTTCCTCCGTCTTGATCTTTCTCCTCCAGAGACGATTCATTCTCTGAGGTTTCTCAACATTAAAGCTTTTCAGTCATGTATTATCCTTCAACGTATTTCTTTTTAAGGAGATCTCATGCAAAAAAATCATCGGTTTTCATGCACTGATCAGTCTTCTTTCAGACTAGAGGAAAGAAAACATCCAAAATACACATTCAGGAGTTCATTCTACTACTTTGTTTATTTACGTCTGTAGATTTCTACTAAATTCACTAAAAGTTAGCATTACATAATGCCTCATTTGCATATTTAAACATACAATGTCAGAAAACTTGTAATACAATAAATACTCCCCTTAATGTGAGTGATGAAGTGGTGAAGTTTCATGGTGATATCTATGA